ATGAACATTAAACATGTAAAATGATAATTGCCGCCGGTAGTAAACATCGTTCGTTGACATATTTGGCACCGGAAGATTTTTCATAAAATCAAAACATAAAGCCTCAGAATCAGCACGCTTTCGGACAGAATTCTTGGCTATTCGCTTACGATCATAAAACGTTTGAGCTTTTTTTATGTGCAATTTTTTTTCTGTGTTAAGTTGTCTTATTTCACTTTCATATATCTTCTTTTCATCACCAGTGTTACTCACTTTAATTTTTTCTTCAAGGCTGGACAGTTTTGCTTCAAATTCATCACAAGCTGAACATGTATCAGTTCGGCGATAACCAAAGGATATGTTGTATTTTGTTGTAAAGATCTGTCTGTATGTTTCGTAGGAAACTTTATGTATGGGAAAGTTTGCGTTATACATATTATGTAACTTTTAATATTCAATTCTTCAGGTAAATATAGTTTAGACGAATCATGACTGCTATAATGTGATCTTCTACCTTTTAGTGATCTTATGTGTTCATGTATTTTGTTTTTTGTTTCATCGGTTAACGAATGAACCCTATTTTTGTGTTTTCCTCTGCCATCAGTTGGAACCTTCCGGGTAGTGACGAGTGCCTATTTTATTGTCTTTATACGTTGGTTTGTAATGCCATGGATGAAAAGAAAGGCCTGTTGACATATAGGCACTTCCGTCATTATAGTGCCACTTATTACTCTAATTTTGTAGGAATATGAATATTCGCGTAAGTTACTCTCATTTTCATCTTTTCGAGGACGTCTGCGTTCGATTGGTTAGACTGTAATTAAACCACTTAAATGTCTATCTTGCTCGTTTTTACTTCCAAAAAGGTTAAACTTTTGAAGAACTGCTTCTCTTTCATTTTTGGCGATAAAGCTAAAGCATTTGAAACGTGTACATTTACAATCCTTACCTTCAATGTGACTCATTGCTCGAATTTTTTTGGAAGCGTCACTTAACCTACCGTGTTTTGCACGCTTTTTTGCTCCACAAAGCTTTTGCTGAACATGTTCATATTCATCACTACTTATATTTTCCATTGTTATAATAAAATTCACACAATTAAAGTTTTATATAAACACAATCGAACACTATAGTTTATTTTTATGAACGAGAGAGTAATTAGCATAATTTTAACTGGTATCTTCGACCACTCCATGGGCGTGCTCAAGATTAATTGAAAAATTACTTTGAATAATTGTAAAAAATAAATGAATTATTTCAGTGTTATAAAGTGTTATGTGTATGTAAACAAAAGTGACCTCTTTTATCATACACTCTATTAGAACTGACTGGCCTACATTAAAAAGGGTTTTAAAAAATTCACATTTTTTTTATTTTTAAAAATTACAAAAGAGAAAAAGAGTTTTTAAAACCGTCTAAGGTATGTTAAATAGATGAATAAAAATATTAATATAAAACTTACAGCTACTTGTTACAAATCCAAATCAGATTCAGAAGATGAACTTTCAGAACCAAGATTTATAATAACTGGCTCGATCATTTTATCAGTAATATTGTCCAGCTTCCACATTTTTTCCTCTTCTTTAATAGTGTGATTTACTGCCTTTTCCCAGTTTTCAGGTTTTACATTATTTACGGCCTCCAAAAACAACTGTTTAACATAATGAATTTTAAAAGTGGTATTTTTTCTTGAAACTTCACTCTTTATCTGCGCCCATACCAGTTCAATCGGGTTTAATTCACAATGATATGGTGGGGATCTAAGTACTGTCATTCCACGATTTTTGGCAATTTCATCAATTTCGTATTTTTTAAATTTTTCTTTATGAAGGGCACACAACGAATAAAGTTCCTTTCTTATAGATCCGGGATGGTACGTAATATTTTTTGAACTCAGTCAATTCTGCAAGTCTTTTTTTAACCACTTGGTTGTGGGCAGTCCTTCTATAAGTCTGGAGTGATAACTTGCCTTATCCATTACTATTACACAGTTCTTAGGAAGAAGATCTATCATTTGTTCGAACCATTCTTGAAAGACATCAGCGTTCATGTCTTCATGGTAGTCACCGGTACGAGTTGATTCAAAAGTTAATAAACCACCTTCAATAAAACCGTCTGAACTGCCAATGTGTACTATTATCATCCTGCGTCGCTTTCCTGATGGTGGGTTTAAACCAGTAGAGAAGTTATTTACAAAAGCGTGCCTTTGACTTGTAACAGTTTCATCCTGCCAAAATTTATTTGGTGTACGACCCTCGTTGATCCATGTTTCATCAAGGTAAAATATTTTTCTTTTTTGGTTTCTCATTTCTTTTATGGTTCTTAGAAAATGTCTTCTCCATATGACAATATCGCTTCTTTCTAATAAAATAGACTTTCTGGGATTCTTTTTCCAGCGGAAGCCTATTTCTTTTAAAAGTTTCCATAACGTAATTCGACTCATTTCTGGGTAATCCTTATCATCTCGAACTGAGACAAGTTCCAACTTTATCCAATGTTGGAAATTCTTGTCTAAAGAAGAATTCATGCACTTTCCGTCGAAGTCCTTCTTTAAAATGATATTCTATTTGAAATTTTGGTTTCCCTGGAGCATTACGTGGCATTTGAAAACTACCACATTTCTCTTCTTTAATAACTCTGTAAATCGTAGATTTCCCAACACCAAGTGTACTGCTAACTAACTCAACGGTCTCATCAACACTTTCACATAAACGTTTGTCTGTAAATGATTTAAAACAATTAAATATTAATGTTTTTTCATTAACTCTTAAAGGACCAATTTTTCGGCGTTTACACGGCACTTCCAAATTTTCCATAACACTAGTATACACAATAAACTGCACCTTGCAACTGAAGTACCTACTTTTAGTGAACTGTTAAGAATTTTGAATACGCCACTCGGACCTTCCTACAAAATGGAAAAACCCACTATCACATTTTCTGTGGAATAAGTTTAGAAGGTAATTATCTAGTCAATTACTGTCGTAGAATCCTGCAATTAAAGAATTAAATGTTTGATTGTTGAAACCCTTACTTCGTGGAATGCACTCATTTCAGATAAAATAAAACGTTTTATTTTATCTAAAGAATTAAACTTTATTTTGCAAATAGGTAGGTACTTATTAAACTTTTATTGGTTATATATAACCAATAAAATAAACATCTTACATTTCTTGCAAATTCATTAGTACCTGTTAACCTCCATCACTCCGACACTGGCGACCTTATTTAGGGATTAGTAACCCTCACAGCTATTGTATTCTATTCTGCTCCAACCTTTATACCTGGTGGTCATACTGAATTTAAAATTGTTTTCCTATATACTTCTGTAAACTTGTTGACAAATATCTGTTTTTCATTGAGTCACCCGTATCAACAGTTTAGGGATTTGCATACATAATTTATTGTTTTATTAGTCTCTCATACATAAAAATACACTATAGAAATACAACTACTTGGAAAAAACCGAACGAATACAATAAAACTAGGCTTCAAACGATAATAGTTTCTTTTTTCATACAATACCGACAACTTTCAGGTATAGGTTATTCCACGAATATACGACTGTTTTGGTTTACTGCAACAACAAATATTTTACTGTGCAAGTAGAAGTATGAAGGTAAATTGGTCCAATCATTATTCCAATAAAAAGGGTCTACTATTATAACATCTAAACTAAAATTATTTCAGTTAAAATCTACAAATAAATACAATGACGTCTATAAAGCCAAATGTGTTCGTCAGACATTTGGGTAAGCTTTCCGTGAAATGTAAACACCAAAGAGGCGTGCCGGGTTTCTTTGATATTACACTACACTTTATTACTTTATTAGGTATTATAACTGTAATAAAAAGAAATATACTATTTTTAATATAAATGAAATGAAATTGGCAGAAAAATGGTTCAGAAACCAGAAAAAGGATCTAATATTTCACTTTGTTAGTTTTAAATATTTGTTTGCTTTGAGTTTATGTACCTACTCTTAAAAGTTCCGAAAGTAACGAGTATAATATACCGGCTAGGAGTCGTTACAGATATTAAAAAGTAACGAGAATTTATATACACTTTCATATATCGTCGACTGATTATTGCTGTGAATCTGATCGTTGATGATAGTTTTAGAAGATTAAGAGAATAAGTGAATAAGTAAGTTTTTTTGTTTTTTAATACTAATTGAATATTCGATAATACTAAATAAATTACACCATTTGATCACTTAAGTATTGTTTGCATTTCGTTAAAATCAATAATTCAAAAACCAACTTGTTAGAATACTAAACTATATAATAGTAATTATATACTTCAAAATCTGAATTGTTCAGATTCAAAAACTGTTCTATAAACTATTAACTTTATATTTATATCATGACTTCATATTTAAATCTAAGGTTTATATCTGTCGTAACAGTATTTTAAAAATAGGGAGAATTTACTATTGTACAATTCAGCACATTGGACCATTTAAGTCGACACCTTAAAGCGAATTTAAAACAGTCGTATATTCGTGGAATGGAGTATACCTACTGGATTAGCCGAGCAAACAAAAGCAGACAAGCAGCGGTGTTTATTGCGTTCAAAACGTAGATGCCATCTGGACTTTGATTGTTGTTTCCTTTCTGCCTGTGGACTCTGTACCTGTACGGTATATTTTCAAACGTTAATAAATATGGACTAAGACTATGTTTTGCATCTTTTACAACTAGAATAGTGACTTCTGATGGTTTATTACAGAATGGCGCGAATAACTCAATTTTTGAAAAAAATGTGACTGGCTGTTTTTCCCCTGTACCCTTCATTTATTATAAATACATATTAACCTCAGCGTTTCACTTAATGAACCTTATTATTTTCTGATAAGTTCCTGATAGTGCTTATCAAGGCTAAACTGCAGTACTTAGGAAATCAGTAATATATTAGCTATTGATAAATTTATGACAACATTTTCTTCCTTGAAAAAGATACTATCTTATCTATACACGTATGCATTTTGTATACACACTTCACACTTTGTAAAAGTTCATTTAATCAATATCAATTAATAGGTGTACAAGTAAATTAGATAGATCATGTCTGAAATTGCTTCCGGAAATTTGTTTTGTGATGACTGTGACGAATTACTTACAGTGAAACCTATAAAAGTTTATTCCGATGGAAAGACTAAATGTGGAAGATGTGATAAACAATGTGATAACTTTACAGACTCAACAGACGATTTGAAAAGTGACACAAAATTACGCACCAAAATTATCAGTGGAACTCCCATCCTTTCGTTTGAAGGTCAAATATTTAGTTTAAAATGTGCGGTATGTACAGAAATATTTTTTGGCTCCGAGAATGAATACAGAGAATGTGTTTGGAATGCGCGTGCTGAGAAAGCATACCACCTCATTTGTAATGGTTGCAAACTCTTTCAACATGCTCACCAGCCTAATTGCGGAAGCTTAGATTATATCATACTTAAAGGTTATAAGTACGTCTGTATGTGGGGTTGCAAAAAAGTATTTACAAGTAAGGAATTATTATTACACCAATGTGAAAATGAACGACCTCGTGAATGTCCGTGTCCCGGTTGTTCGTTTAAAGGAACATTAAGGAAAATAAAACAACATTTTTTTTATTGTCATAGAGACTTAATATTTTTCAGTTCATATATTGAAATACCACAATGTACCTGTGATGTGTACTGCTATATTCCAAGCGAAGATCAATTTGTTCGACTTGAATTTTCAGGAGAAATTAACCAAAAATGGGCTAAACTTAAATATACGGCAGATGTAGAGGTTGGATTTGTAACAGACAAAAGTATTTTATTAGATATACGAGTAGATAAGACTTTTAAATTGAAAGCAGAATTATTTCCGTTAAAATTAAAAATTATTTCCAAAACACTACTCGATTAGTGTAATCTATTGAATATTTATTTTAAATTTATTATTTATTTCATAATAAAATATGTAGTCCAAAAAATAAGATGTTTTTCTCTCAAGTAAGCTGAAAGTACAAGCTGAATATAGCCGCAAATGTCAACCATGAAATAAAAGATTTCGGTTCGGCAGTGTTTAAGTGTTTTTAAGTGTTTTTATAATGCATCTGTTGTGTGCTTAAAATATAACAAGTGAAAACTTTTAAAAAGTACATTTTGATTATACTATTTTATGAATTCTGCAATTTGTAATTTACATGAAACAATAACGAGTAAATATTTGTCTCTTTCGAGATTCATTGCAAGCATCCGTTACAATCTGCCAACTGCTGATTTGACGATTGACAAATCTATCCCCTAATCTATCACAGGCATCGAGTTAGAATCTAGATCTAGATTCTAAATCGATGATCAAAGGGCAATTGCCAAAAGACATTTTTAACAATTAACTGCAATTAATCTCCAAAGAAACAAATATTTACTCGTTCTTGTTTTATATAAATCAAAAATTGCAGAATTCATAACATAATATAATCAAAATGTACTTTTCTAAAGCTTTATCTCTTTATATTTGAAGCATACAGCATTATAAAATCATACAACACTGCTAAACCGAAATTTTTTGTTCCATGTTTGACATTTGCGGCTATAATCAGCTTGTACTTTTGGTAAACTCAACCAAGATTTTGTACTATTCTTTTATAATCACAATTAGCCTATGGGATTATTGGATGGGGTGGAGCCATCGAGCAAAAAGATAAAAGAGGGAATCTAATCGTTATGAAAAGGAGACCAAAAAAGTGGCCTCTGATGGCGGACATATCCGGAAATGCAAAGGCGCTAAATTTAAATTTTCCAACACTTGTTAACAATAGCTGTAAAATATTTTTCAGACAAGAAAGTTTTAATTAAATATTAACGATAATAGTCTAAAAAGTGACACAATTGGTAAAAAACTTCAATATAAATAAAATTTTATGTGACAGTTCGGACAAACAATAACATAACCAAACTAAATTTGACTTCTTAAACAAGGAAAGAGACTGTCTTTCCTTGTTTAAAGTGGCCTCTCAAGATAGCACTTCCTGTCTAAGAATATGTTTGTCCCCACTACCTTTACATTCCCTCTTTTATCTTTTTGCTCGATGGGTGGAGCCTACAATGCTTATCTTAAAAATCTAAACGTGATACAAGATTGGATACTTATAATAATATATAGAAGAAGTATGAGATCATCAGTGGACCAATTATTTACAGTCATTTCATGAATTTAAACCAGTTGTACTCCTACAAATCGTTATTATATGTACAAAGTGAGAAAACATTTCTGAATTGTACCCACCATATATATCAGGAAACAAGGTATGCTCACTAGGTGGACGTCACATGCGTGACGTCTGCTTTGTTTACGTCTAGCTAGTGTTTTGCATTTTTTAACCTTACTTTGCAATGTATTGGAATTTAAAAGTAATTTTGTTTTGTTTCGATTTTTTAAAAATTATTTTAGCAAGAGTGTGTTCAGATCATTTTAAATCTGAATTATTATTATTATTATTGTGTTAATGCCTCGACAACTATGATCATTGGCATGGTACAGTCAGGTACCTAGTGTAGTGTGTGTGTGTGTGTGTGTGTGTGTGTGTGTGTGTGTGTGTGTGTGTGTGTGTGTGTGTGTGTGTGTGTGTGTGTATGTGTGTGTGTGTGTAGAGTAGAGTAATTGTCTTGATACTTAGCAAAGTCGACGTCATTGTCTTTGGTAAGAGACTCTAATTGTATCCGAACGTCTGCGGTCCCTCTGGTGAGTACCGATCGCACAAGGATAGAAATTATTTTCATTTATTATTTTTTTTTAATAAACGAACATTTCCACCCAGATGGGATTCGAACTCACGACGTTTAGGTTCAAAGGTAGGCGCTCTTACCACTGAGCCACAGAGGGGGTTAAATCTGAATTAATTGGATTAATGTATAATATTAATTTTATTTTATTTTATTAACTACGATATTTTTTATCAATTTTGTACATATTTAAATTGCCGCCTTCAAAATGGCGGATTTTGGTCGTAAACGCGATTGGCTGTTCAACATAGATGCGTGTGAGCATACCTTGATTCCTTATACCTTATATACATATCAAACTAGAAATAGAAACTTAACGATATTAGTACCAAAAAAGAAAAAAACCATTGGCTAACGTTGCATTGATTTTTTATTTTTGATCTATCATCAAACCAATACACAATTATAAATAATTTAAAAAAGAATTAAAACAATGGATTTATGGTAATAGATATAAATTGCATGAATTAATGAACAAATATTAATGAGTTGAAATATCAAATAATTGTTATATTTTTAAAATTGATGTTTCCCTAATTGTAATTAGTCAACAGTTTGTATTTTACTACTTTAAAGAATTTATAATTGTGTATTAATAAGTTTATAAAAAAAATCAACTCTCACGTACCAGTAGTAGTTCATGTGACGCTCAACTTCTTTGAGAAGCTTGTTTTTTTATATATAATGTTTTATAAAATAAGTAAATTTATATTGTTACACAATTTTTTGTAAATATACTCTATTAGTATTAATATTTAGTTTACAAATGACTTAAACTCATTGTTAATGGATAAATTCTTTTAATCCTTTCCAACCCAAATTATTTTTTTTTAATAAATTTTGTCGAAAAAAATGTATGTTAAAGGAAACGATACAAAAAAAAAATAATTGTTGAAAAATTTTGTAAAAATTTTACATCCTAGAGTCTACTCAAAAAAAATTAATCCCATTTGGAATCATCTGGCGTTGGTGCCAATTATCCATTTATAACACTTGATATAGTGGTTTGGTAAAAAATTGACTACAATAGAAAATAAGTTGACTCTACGAAGAATTGGAAACCATCCTGGATGAAATACCTCATGAAGAGCCTTTAATTCTTATGGTTGACTTAATGCACGAATCGGAAATGACATAGTTCCAGGAGTAAAACAAAGATTTAATGAAAACCATGTAAACTCAAATGAATAACTCATGGCTAATCTCTGTGCTTTTAACGAACTCAGAATCAATAATACATTTTTCGACCATAAGCTCCAGTATAAATATACATTTGAAAACTCCGTGGGGCATAAATCTATGATTGATTTTATAGTCACTAATAGAAAAATCCACCCAAAACAAATTCTAGATATCCGAACTTTAAACTCAGCAGACGCAGGAAGTGAACACAAACTAGTAATAGCAAAGATAAGAATGAAAATAACACCAAAACAAAATTTTCTACAGAAAATCACCGAGGAAAAATTCAATGTAAAATCACTGTGGAACGACTCTACAAGAGGAATGTACCAAAGGAGGCTAGCACAGAGGATACAGCTGAAACAAATAGACGACGTCGAAGATATAAACGCGGGCTGGGAGAAAATTAAAAACAACATTGAAGAAGCAGCAACAGAAGCTCTAAGAAAACGTAAAGTCATACTGAACAAAAGAAACAATAACAATACACCAAAAAGGATGGAAAGCGACTTCTACGGTACACAAAAACAAATATGGAGATTCATAAGAAACCAACGGAAAGAAATGACAGAATTGAAGGAATACAATAACATACCAACAAACGAATGGGAAAAATACCTGACGGAACTTTTTAAAGCAAAGGAAAATAATATTCAACACAATAACGTACCTGAATTAAGACACGAAATAGAAATCAGTTTTCAGGAAGTAGAAACAGCCATAAATTCACTCAAAAACAAAAAGCCACCAGGACCAGACAGAATAACCAACTAGCTTCTAAAATACGGAGGAGAAAGTATAACGCTAGAGATGACAAAACTTATACAAAAACTAATATTGCACTGCAAGATACCAGACTCATGGAGAAACAGCATAATGATACCAATGTTCAAAAAAGGATAAATAAGACCCCAACAATTATAGAAGTATACATCTACTAAACACCGCACTTGAGCTTACTACAAAATTCTTAACCAACAAAATCAATAAACTAACAACTTTATCATGAATAACAAGGATTCAGATCCGGAAGATCCTGCGTAGACGTCGTATATGTACTAAGACAAATCACAGAAAAGGCCATCGAGTACAATAAACCAGCAGATCTATATTTTATAAACCTGAAAAAGTATTTCGATCGAATCTAAGTCGAAGACGTCTTACACCTACTGTATAAAAAAACATACCAATCAATTTTGTACAAACCATCGAAAACATCTACCTCCATTAATCGAATACAGGCAAAGATAAATGGAAAACTAAAACAGAATATACCAGTACAAAGCGAAGTCAGACAGGGTGACTTGTTAAGCACACTGCTCTTTAATATAATAATGGACGAAATAATACAAGCAGTACGTAAAGGTCATGGTTACAGAATGGGGAACAAAGAAATCTAAATATTATGTTATGCAGACGACACCGCATTGATCGCCAAGACCAAAGACGAGCTCCAAAGATTAACACATATCTTCAATACAACAGCCAAGAAATACAATATGATAATATCAGCAAAATAAAACCAAATGTATGACAACATCTAAATACCCACTACGGTGTAAAATCGAAATTGATGGGAAAATAATAAAGCAGGAAGCAAAGTTTAGATGATGATATAACTACTTATGGATATGTTGAAGAAGAAGTACGACAACAAATCTTAAAAGCAAGTAAAGCGGCGGGTTCCCTTAATGACACAATCTGGAAGAACAAACACCTAAGACAAGACACAAAAAGAAGAATCTATAAAATCCACAAGGAAAACAATTCCTGTAGCTGGCTGTATACCACGTATCACAAAAAAGAGGTTAGTCTTTGTAAGTGGGTATATTTATTTAAAAACCCTTAAAAGGGCTACATCAAAAAAACAAACGTTTTCGGACTAAACAGTCCATCATCAGGTTTAAAATCTGCTAGGTTAAAATGCCTGAGCCACCAAAAATACATGGGTAAAAACCCTTTAAATTACTTATAGTTATCAAAGATTATACATCTTGTTGTTAAAAAACTGTGATGT